TTAAATAGGGCAGTTGAGGTGTGTATCAAGAGGTAAGCTCAGAGTGAATCTTTATCTGTAAAAACATAGAAATCTTGCCTCTTTCTCAAGATCATAATCCTTGTCACAGAGTGGACATATCAAGCATAAGAGTGAATTATTGATGCCCTATGAAGATTCAGATGTTTGTGGATCCAATATGCAAACAAATGTATGTGAAAGGCATTTGAAAGAGTTTTGTTCTTAAAATCCATAGTTATGAAATCTCTCCTAGGTTTTTAGATAATGAGTCAGATCAAGGTGAGAAAAAAACATCAGAGCTATTCTCCAAGAGCACATGATCTGTAGAGTCATACCTCTTGGGGCTGTCAGTTTGTGAGCTTTCAAAATTAAGCAAGGTTTGTACTTGAATATGAGACCTCCACAAAACACCTGCTCAAAGGGAAAACAACAGTAGCAACAGAATAGTTAGAGGTTGAAAGGAGCCTGGCTATTTAAAAAAATTATTTAGATCTTTTTTGCCTTCCTAAAGCAAGCTCCTTCTAGAACTCCAGAAAGAGACACTACCATGTTTAGAAATAAGCAAGCAAGCCCAACAACTAGGAAGGCACTGGTAGTGCATTATTTTAGATGGAATGAAAACGAAGGGGAATTTCATTTTGGGGAGTCATTGTAGGAAAACTCTTAAATTGTGAGTCAAATTTCTTTAGTTTTAGTCTCAGTTCTGCTACTAAGTGGCTAATTGACCCTAGGTAAGTCAGTTGACTTCTCTGGACCTTAATTTCCTTATGTAGAAAATTAGATGTTTGGACTAGATGGTGTTTAAAGTTCCTTCTACTCTAAAATTCTGTAATTCTAGACCCTTAATTCTTCCTTGTTCCTATAGTGCTTCTCCATTGACTTAGCAAATATTTATTGAGTACCTACTTTGTTCCAATGCTGTGATGGTGCTGAGGATTCAAGAATGAGCTAACGCAGACACAAAAGTCCACATATTATATGATTTCATTTATATGAATAAATAGGCAGAATAGGCAAATCCATAGAGATGAAAAATAGATTAGTGGTTGCAAGTGGGAGGGGAGAATGGGGAGTGACTGCTAATGGGCACTGGGTTTCTTTTTTCCAGTAACAAAAGTGTTCTGGAATTAGATAGTAGTGATGGTTGCAAAACATTGTGAATATACTAAAACCTACTGAATTGTACTTCGAAAAAAAACTTAAAAAAATAATGAACTAGACAGACACAACTTTGCCCTCATGTTAGCACACAGAGTGGAGTGGATACATAAAGGCAACCATGATACAGTATATATTTCAGTGGGCACACAACCCAGACTTGGTGGTGGTGATGAATCAGGAAATAGTTCCTGTAGAAAATTGTACGTGTTTAGGAGATGAGTAGGAATTAGGAATGAAGGAGGATGTTTCAGGCAGAAGGAATGTTGCAAAAGTCTGAAAGCTAGAGAGAATATGGTCTTTTAAGGTAATTAAAGTAGATAAGAATAGCTGATGCATAAAAGTGTAAGGGAAAATCGTTAGAGATATGGCTAAGTAGGCATGAGCTAGATCTTGAAACCATGATAAGGAGTTTGGATTTTATCCTGAGAGCAGCAAGGAGCCATTTAAGGATTTCAGTCTAGGAAGTTACATAATCAAGTTCGTAATTTAGAAAGAAAACTCGGGCTGTAACACAAAGAACGGACTGGAGAAGGCAAGACCAGTGACAGGCAGACTGGTGGTTGTAGCAGTCCAGGCAAAAGATCAGGTTGATCTGATCTAAAGCAGAGAGGACAACAACGTGGGAAAAGTGAAGAGTGGTCACTTTTGAGAAATATTAAGGAGACTGGATGTCAGAATGAGAGAGGGAACAGGGTTGAGTCACAGTTTCTAGGCTTGAGCAACTAGGTATTTGATGATGTTCACTGAGCTAAGGAACAGAAATAGGTTTCAGAGGAAAAGAATTCACATTTGAATGTGTTGGGAACATCGAAGTGGAACTGTTTCAGACAGAGGTCTAGATCTGTAACTCCCCAGAGAGATCTGGGCTGAGGACCTACGTATAAGAATCATTAGAATAGAAACAGTAATTGAAGCAGCGGGAGTGTATTTGTTCATCTAGGGAGTGTGTTTAGAAGTGGAAAAAAGAGCCTCTAGGACAGAACCCTGAAGAACACCAAAAGCTAAGAAATGGGCAACGAAAAAAATCTGAAGAGGGCAATGAGAAGGAGCAACTGGGAGGCTGGAGGAAAACCAGGAATTCAAACATGGATATAAGATTTTTTAAAGCAAACATTCTTTGTTATATATAATGAAATGTGTGTCAGACCATGCTCCAAGTGCCTTAAAATAATGACTCATTTAGTCCTTACAACAGCCCTATGAAGTAGGGGATACTATTACTATCCCCATTTTACTGATGGGGAAACTGAGGCACACAACCTGCCCAAGATCATATGGCGAGTGAATTGCAGTCTGAGATTTGATCCTACACAATTTGGCTCCAAAAGAGTTCATGTGCTTAACCATCGTGCTATGTTACTTCACAAGATAAACACATGCCCAGATAAACACTGTAAGAGCCCTGAAAAGTTGGATTTATTGTCTTTATGTTATAAAAAGAAAACTGAGGCCCAGATTGATTAAGTAGTTTGACCAATTCATGTAGCTGCTAGGTAGTTGAGCAGAATTTGAACCCAGGTTCCTTAACTCCAAAGCCTCTTTGTACTAGATTATACTGCTGGTTATTTTTCTCTGTATACATACATATATGTGTATACAATTTAATTTTACTTATTCTATAAATGCTAATTCCTCAGGTATCTCCTAAATGCTAATAATGACTACCTTTGAATCCTTTTTTTAAAAGCAAGTGCCCTAGATGTCTCAGAGTTTTCAGTGATAACATCAATTTAATCCAGGTTATCCACACGTTCCAAAAATATGGATGTAGTAACACATTATGTTCTGATTGGCTGATGCTGTTTTCAGCGCTTGATTCTCTAAAAATGCCGTCAGAATGTCTTATGATCATGGAGAAATAAAAAAACTCCACCAATATAGAAAGCTATTTAAAAATCATTATTTCTCTTATTTATTGTCTCTAAGACTAATAACTACCCCAGTAGGGGGTAGTTTACCATGGTTTAAATGGGCCATAACTAGAGCTTAAACTCCTGTACTTATTTTTCCCATTTTATTTCTTGCAATTGTAAGAGAGGCAATTGATGTGTTGAGTCAGATTTGAAGGTTATACTCAGAAATGAAGGTTACACTCTGAAGTCTATTAGGTGGTTTTCAGTCTCATATAAAATGTTGTAAAAGAGTGTCACCTAGTGCTACTCTGAAGAAGTAATTTGAGAGAAATTAAATATTACCTGTTTATAATCTCTATCACCACCTTGTGGCAGTATCTTCACATAATTCTCTTTTATTTGCAAAATCTTGCAGAATCTTGCATTAATCTATACACAGAAACAGCTCACAGGCTATCCTGCGTGTTCCAGAACGGAATTTCTTTAAATGGGTTATTTTACAAATATTTTGTTCAGAACTCCATAAAACCTGAAAAGAAGCCCCAATTTAAGTTAAATTAAGGCCTTCCAAAAGGAAAAGGGAAATTTGCTTCTTTTTTTATGTTAGTGAAACAATGGAAGTAAAAACTGTTTTAGACATTAACTTTTCTGTTGTGGTAATATATACATAATGTAAAATTTACCATTTTAACCTCTTTTAAGTGTACAATTCAGCCGCACTAAGCATATTCACAGTGTTGTGCAACCATCACCACTATCTATTTCTAGAAGTTTTTAAATCATCCTGAACAGAAACTCTGTACCCATTGAACTCCCCATTTCTTCCACCTTCTACCCCTTGGTAATCTCTATTCTGCTTTCTGACTCTATGAATTTGACTACGCTAGGTACCTCTACCTCATAAGCGGAATTGTGCAATATTTGTCCCTTTGTGTCTGGCTTATTTCACTTAGTATAATGTTTTCAAAGTTCATCCATGTGGTAGCATATATCAGAATTTCGTTTCTTTTTAAAGCTTAATAATATTCCGTTGTATATACCACATGTTTTTTTAATCCACTCAACTATTGATGGACAATTGGGTTGTTTCCACTTCTTAGCTATTGTAAATAATACTTCTATAAACATCAGTGTACAAGTATCTGTTTGAATCCCTGCTTTCAATTCTTTTGGGGATATACCTAGAAGTGGAATTGCTGGATAATATGGTAATTCTGTTTAACCTTTTGAAGAACTGCTGTACTGTTTTTGACAGTGGCTGCACCATTTTACATTCCCACCAATAGTGCAGAAGGGTTCCAGTTTCTCCACAGTCTCACCAACACTTGTTACTTTCATTTTTTGGAATAGCCATCCTAATGGATGTGAAGTGTAAACATTAACTTTTGAGTTGAATTTGCAAATCAATTACACATGATGTTAATTCAAGAAATGTTTTTGAGCCTGTGCTGTATACAGAGCACTGTTACACCCTAAGAGAATAACAAGGGTGAGTAAGGGGCCGGCCCGGTGGCCTAAGCGGTTAAGTGCGCACGCTCGGCTGTGGTCGCCTGGGGTTCGCCGGCCTGGATCCCTGGCGCGCACAACGCATCACTTGTCAAGCCATGCTGTGGCGGCGTCCCATATAAAGTAGAGGAAGATGGGCATGGATGTTAGCCCAGGGCCAGTCTTCCTCACCAAAAAAAAAAAAAAAAAAACAAGGATGAGTAAAATATATTGTTGAGTCTGTAGGTGATTTACAATTTATTTTTGTCCTCCAAGTGTATTTGGGAACAAATAAATTAACTTAAATTTTCATTGAGTGGTTGGAAAAACTAATACAGAGACTTTATGCCAAATTTATAGAAAATTGGTAGTGGAGATAAAAATATTTATTAAACTATTTTTCCAAAGAATATGGTCAAATGCTAATTATATAGTTCTTCATTGGAAAATTCACAATAAAGATTATGTTAAGGCAAGGTCTCTAATTTTTTTTTTTTCATGTTAGACTTGTTGAAAGAATCCTGATACATTCCTATAATGGCCACTGCTCAGCTCTCTCACTCCATCAGAATTCATAAGGCATCTAAGGTATTTATTAAGAATTAAAGAAAATCGATGACTATTTAATGAGCTAGTTCACAATCACGACTTTAATATTTGGTGTTTTTTTTAAACAGCAGTTTTATCAGTTAATTGGTATATAATATTCTGGCAGAGTATGTCTGCATTTTAACTGACTAATGGACTGAGGTTGTTCAGAAAATTAGAATAGATTCCTACAAAGTAACTTACTGGGTGCTTGTTTCATGTTTATATATTTAGATTTTCTAGAGTAAAAGAAATCAGAAGCAAAAAAGATGTTTAAAGAGATTGGTTCTTTGTTAGACATTCACTTCCTGAAGCAGTTGGGAAACTTCTGATGCACACTATGATGTAATTATAAGAACTGAAGGAAAGAGCCCTGGGGAAATGTGGATGCTGGGACCCTGGGGGAGCATGCTAGGGCCAGGCAACCTTGCTGTGTTCACCTGGGCAAGTTTATCTTGTCCCACGACATTCATTAATTGAGAGCTCAATGTTATATAACATATTTGTAATATTGTGTTATTCTCTGAGAGAATTAAAAAAAAAAAAAGGATCTTTATCTTCCAGAAGTTAATAATCTGGTTAGGGAAATAAGATTTATAGGAGTTAAGTCAATATACAAAGCAGTATATGCATTATATATATATATATATATATACACATATATATTATATATATATAATATATATATATATAAAAAAGAATAAGGCAATACAAATTGTAGGAATTTAGCAATTTTTGTATATGCTAGGATGGTCTGTATATTCCTCATGAAGGAGATGGGACTTAAGGTGGGCCTTGAATAATGAAAAGGATTTGGATAGAGGAGAGAGAAGAGAATTCTATGAGGAAAACCTAGCATATGCCTTGGCTTGGAATAAGAAGTGAGCATGGCATGTTTCAGAGAATAACAAAGAACCCATCCTAACTGGAGTGGCGTGTCATCATGTTGGACAGAAGTAGGAAATAAAATTGAATAGGAACTTTGGGGACAAATTAATATGGATCTTAAAAGCTATGCTAAAGAATTTATGCTTTATTTTGCAATCAATGGAAAGTCAGCGGGTGTGATCAGGAGAGTAAATAAATAATTGTTTTAGGAATATTAAGCTATAGCAGAAGTAGGAAGATTGAAGTTGAAGGAGAATTAGGGCAGAGAGAAAGCAGTCATCTTTCTGGCTCAAATTCAATGTACTCACCAAGTGGACTTCTGATCTCATTTGGTTTCCTAAGTGTGCTTCCTTCCTAGGGGGAAAATGCTGAGCTGGGTATATGAATTGCAAACAGCTTGGCAGTTGTTTTTCTCACTGTAAATTAAGAAATTGACCTTTTGATATAAACAGATCTTTGTATTTTAGACTGCATGAGCTACCTCTCCCAGTAAATTTTAAGTAACTGTATGATTTTGCTATTTAATACTTAAAACAACAATAATAATAACTATAGAAGCTAACATTTATTCAGCACTTACCATGTGCCAGGCGCTGCGCCGAGAGCATTATATTATTATTTCAATAAAATCTTGCAATAAGGAGGAAACTGAAGCTCAGAGAAGTAAAGTAACTTGCCTAAGGTCATGCAATTTGACAGCTAAGCTGTCAAACATCACTTAATGTCATAAGCACACTATCTTATTAAAATATTTTATAATAGTATTTTCTTTTTTTTAAATTAATTAATTAATTAAATTTTCCCCCAAAGCCCCAGTAGATAGTTATATGTCATAGCTGCACATCCTTCTAGTTGCTGTATGTGGGACGCCGCCTCAGCATGGCCAGAGAAGCGGTGCGTGGGTGCGCGCCCGGGATCCGAACCCGGGCCGCCAGCAGCGGAGCGTGCGCACTTAACCGCTAAGCCACGGGGCCGGCCCTATAATAGTATTTTCTATTATCAAGCCATAGTATTTTCATGTATAAGACATTTATAAAAACACCAGTGATAACCCTTGAAGTGTTAGACCAGCTGAGCTGAGAAAAAAAATCCCTGGAGTATAGAGAAGTAACATAACTCTAGAGGCCTTTTCCAAACATTGATCTTCATTACTACAAATGGCCTTTTAGATTCTACATTTAAAGTAAGTGTCTTTATACTTCAAGGTTATTTAATTTTACAAATGGTTATTACTCTAGTATTGCCTCTAAGTTTTGGCATGTTTTCAATAAGTTACTATATATGCATGCCGTGCCAGCTATTACCCAATTACTCAAAAGAACCTCAATTTCTCAGGATCTATGGGTACAAAAAGGAATTTTCTGTAAAATTTTACACACACACATCCCCCCACATACATACCAGCACATCATACATGCAGGGGTAATAGTGTTATTATATACCTTTTTAACAACTGCATATAATATGGCTCAAAAAAAGGATGAACTGATAATTCATGTCCACCATATAGTGTACCAAAGAAGAGGCAAGCTTATATAGCAAAGTCATATCTAGAATGTCCAAAAAAACATTCTAGAACCGGATCTATAGATAGAAAAGCTTTTTGGGAGTTCTTTTTCATTTAAAGACATATTTGTGGGTAGTACCCGCCTCTAAGTAACAGAATTATTAAAACTTCAACAGTTGAAACTGTATAGTATAGTAAAAAGACCCCTGAATTTGAATAAATAAGAGACTTGCCATCCTGACTTTTAATGGAATAGATAAGTTTCACCTGCATTTGTACTTCATATAAGTGAAATCATAGAGGAGTACGCATTTGTATCTGATTTCTTTTATTTATTTATTTTTTTGTTGATATAACACTATGTAGATTTCAGGTGTACATCATTATATTTTGACTTCTGTGTAGACTACATCATGTTTACCACCAAAAGTCTAGTTTCCTGTATCTGTTTTTTTTGCTTAACGTTATGTGTGAGAGTCATTTATATTGTTAAGTATAGTTGTGGGTGATTCGTTCTCATTGCTATATAATATTCCATTGTGGGAAGATACTACAATTTGTTTATCTATTCTCATTGATGGGCATTTGGGTAGTTTTCAGTTTGGGGGTATTATGAATAATGCTGTTATGAACATTCTGATACATGTCTTTTGGTGAGCATTTGTATGCATATCTGTCAGGTGTATACCTACGAGTGGAATATGGGTCATAGGATATGTGCATATTTAGTGTTAGTAGATACCACTACATAATTTTCCAAAGAGGTTGTACCCCTATACACTCCTACAAGCAATGTTTAAAAGTTTTAATTTATCCATATCCTTGTCAACATTTGGTATTTTCTGACTTTTTAAATTTTAGCCATTTTGGTGGGTGTGTAGTATTATATCATAGATTTTAATGTGTATTTCCCTATGAAGTTTGAGCACTTTTTCATTTGTTTATTGGCCATTTGGATATCTTCTTTTGTGAAGCCTCTGTTCAAGTCTTTTGCCCATTTTTATTTTCAGTTGTCTATCTTTTTCTTAATGAATTTTAAGAGTTCTTTATACATTTTGGATATGAGTCCTTTGTACTGAGACATGTACTAAGAATATCTTCTCCCAGTCTTGAGTTGCCTCTTTCCTCTTAATAGTGTATTAATGAACAGAAGTTCTTAAGTTTAATATAGTCTAATTCACCAATATTTGGAAAATATTTAAAAATTATAATGTATTGACACGACACCAGCTGGAGTTCACGAGACATTTTGTTCTTAAAGAAGACAGCCAAAAGAAGTTTTGTAGACTAATTAATTGTGATAAAAATGATCAAATTTTTATTTTTACATTAATACATATAATAAACATTGAATGATATGACAACATATGTTGAAGTGATAGCTAAAGATATAAAACAAACTATCAGCAAATATTCTGTATGCAAGATGACTGTTAGTTGTTAGACATTTCTTACATACTGATGTAAAATTCATGCATCTGTCACTCTCTTATGACATTCCTAATATGGCACACCATTTCTTAAGGCAGATTATCCAGTCATTTAAGAACAACTGTATAGGGCTGGCCCTGCGGCTTAGCAGTTAAGTGCGCGCGCTCCGCCGCTGGCGGCCAGGGTTCGGATCCCGGGCATGTACCCACGCACCGCTTCTCCGGCCATGCTGAGACCACGTCCCACATACAGCAACTAGAAGGATGTGCAACTATGACATACAACTATCTACTGGGGCTTTGGGGGAAAAATAAATAAATAAATAAAATTATTAAAAAAAAAAAAAGAACAACTGTATAAATCCTTTAGTATGTCATACACACACACACACACACACACGTGTAAACTTTAGAAGGAAACTATTGTTAGCAATAATACTTTTTGTAGAACATCATATGACATCTTAAAGAATTTTAGTATTCTGCAGAACTCTAGCTTAAGCAAAGCACAAAGGTGTGGAAATACATGGTAGTAGAATAGTAGATGAACAGTAGTTCCACATGGCTAGAGAGTAGCGTGCGTAGGAAAGGATAAGGGAGTAGTGGCAGGGAGGAGGGAGTGGGAGATGAGGAAGGAGAGCTAGGCAAGGCTAAGATTTTGACAGTTCTCAAATGCCCCACTAAGGTACTTTAGAATACCATCCTGTATGAGCACTGGGAGTGTCATGAGAAGATCTGTATTCTTTAGAGGTAATAATGGTAGCAATAAGAAGGACAGATTGAATGACAGGAACTGTTGGCGGGGAAATTGGGGGCTACTGCAGTAATAAAGGGGAGAAGTGAGTATGTCCTAAGTCAAGGAAGTGGCAGTGAGAAGGGAAAAGAGAAAATAGATTTAAGAACTCTTTTAGAAAGAAGTAATAGGATTTAGTGATTGGATATGGGGTATGAAGGAAAGAGAGAAGCCAAAGATGACTCTACTTCTAGCCTGGATGATTGGAGTGGATGCTGATTCATTTGTCTGAGAATGGAACTTGGGATGAGGTTTCAGTCAGGGGTGATAGAGATAAACTGAGTTTGAGGGGTTTACAAAGTGGTCTAGGTTCGGATGTTCAGAAAACAGAAATATAGAAATGTAACTCAGAACAGAAATAAGGACTTGAAGTCTTCTCTCTATAGGCTATAGCTGAAGCAGTGAGACAAGATGAGATTACCAAAGAAGAGAGAGCTATGAAAAGAGAAAAGGACTTAAGACAGAATCCTGGGATGGGACCACCACTTAAAGGGCAGATAAACTGGAAAAAATAAAAGAGATTGACATAGATATGGAAAGATAGGTGAAAAACCAAAAGAAAATAATGTTATGGCAGCTAAGAGAGAAGAGGGAGAGTGTGGGCACAGTATCAAACACAGCAGAGAAGATACATAGTATGAAGACAGAAGAGGTCAATGATAGGATGTACTTGGTGACTTGGGGGAGAAACGTATGAAAGGGAGGAGGTAAAAGACAGATTGCAGTGGATTCTGAGGACTGTGTGAAAGGGAAGGAGATTACATAATCATAGTAAAAGTCTAGTTTTGCCTCAAATCCATGGATCATTGTGAAATAAATCATATGAATAGTTTTGAATTACTTGGGTAACTGTCTCTGCCTTTCTGCTCTGCCTTGCGTGTGGAGATCTAATTTAATGCAATATTCAAAGCCTTGTTTCCTTTTGATTACCTATAAAGGTATCAGATTTGAAGTCTTGAAAAATCTTTCCATCATATCTGTGGCAATGCTGTGATGGGCTGAATATATTAAAGAATATCAATCTTTTCATCTTTGTTTTATTCCAGGAAACAGTTTTCCCATCACAAATCACTAATGAGCATGAATCATTGATAATGGTGAAGAAACTTTTTGCTACTTCTATCTCATGTATAACGTATCTAAGGGGCCTGTTTCCAGAGAGCTCTTATGGAGAACGCCATTTGGATGGTAAAATTTAACTAAGTGGTTACTTTGGCTGTTGTAGCCCTTTTCTCTATTTGGCAGGAGTAAACCTTTAATTTCTCACAGAGTATGCTAATTCCAAGTCATGGGCCCCTTCTTCAAGATCAATTTGCTAATTCATTTTCCATTTTAATTTCACTATGTTTACTGGTTTTACTTATAGGAACCATTAGTTCCTGGCTAGATACCAAATGACAGACTGAGGAGAAAAGTAATCTGTATGGACAAGCCTAGTAATTCTAAACTATACCTATAAAAGCAGCAGCCAGATCAAAATCTATTTTGGTTGCTGTAGATTTGCACTATTTTGTGCCTCAACTGAATTTGTTCTTTGACGTATACTTTGGCGTTGAGGAAGTATAGTGGAGCCAGGTGAAAAACTCTTCTGCCTGTTAGCACGTATAAATATGCTGGAAAAAATGCATACTCATGCCAAACCCATTTGTTGATTAACATGGATATTTAGACAATTATTATTCTAACCAGCTCCATTCTTTTCTCAGTTACCAGGTCTTCTACTTTCCTTCCTTTTGTTTCTTGTATCCTTAAGCATATGATCTCATTTCCTTATATTACAAGCTGTTTCTGGCTCCTTTCTCTCTTGTATTGAAAAAAATGTACCTATGACTCTTCAATTTTTCAAAATCTTATTATTTGTTTAAAAAGCTGAATTGTGATAATAATTTAGAAAATCTTGCTGATTTGTCACTAAAATGGGAACTATCATTTGGAAAATAAATATAGAGAGCTACCAGTTTCCTTGTAAGATGTTATTTTTCAAAAGCTAATTTTAATTTAAATTTCTCACATCCGTATTTAATGATACCTTGGCCTCATTCCAACTTAATTTTCTTAAACAACATTTGATTCTCTACACAAGCATCAATGAAATGCATGTGTACGGTAAACACAAAAGCATGATATTTGTAATCATGACAACCTCATTTGTACATATTTGAGAATAATCCATGGAAAATATGTTCATCCTTTTTTTTTTCATTGAGAAAGAGAGAAATATCAGAGAAGTGACTTGAGATTGTAGTGTATGTTTTAAACTGGTTAAAGGAGGTGGTCTCAATACTGCTTTATAATTACTTGGAACTCAATGGGAGCAAAGAAGTGACACATTGATTTTGTATCCAACTCAGTTGTGCTATATTGTAGAAGGGGAGACTGCTAAACTATAATCAAAATCGGAATTAAGACAATTATCAACATAGGATTTATTTTTTTTTTTAAAGATTTTTATTTTATTTATTTTTTCCCCCCAAAGCCCCAGCAGATAGTCGCATGTCACAGCCGCACACCCTTCCAGCTGCTGCATGTGGGACGCGGCCCCAGCATGGCCAGAGAAGCGGTGCTTCGGTGCGCGCCCGGGACCCGAACCCCGGCCACCAGCAGCAGAGCGCGCGCACTCAACCGCCAAGCCACGGGGCCGGCCCAACATAGGATTTATTTTTAAAATAAATATTTAGAGATTCAGAATGTTTTTATAAGCTATAAAACTAAGTTATGTAAATAAAAAAGTTTAAGTTATGTAAATAAAATACCCTTATTTAGCATGGACAATTTTAGTACAGCAGTCTTTTAGTAGATGAAAATAGACTGTGTTTCTATTTTTGTAGACCTCAGTTTAAAAATCCTCCGAGAAGACAAAAAATGTCCTGGGTCACTGCATATTATCAAATGGTAAGTAACTGAAAGTCCACAAAAGTTGAACAACATTATTTTTATCATGGCTGAAATTACCTATAAGCCTTTATTTGGTAAGATCATTTCCTTAAAAACATTTCCTTCTTTCTGTCTTCTTTTTTCTTTTTTTACAATTTCTTAGAAATTTGTAACAATCATTCAATGTTATTTACGATACTGAGTTTTGTTTTTAAAGAAAAGAGATTTGTATAAAGAAAGAAAAATATCAATCAAAATTTAATTACTCATATGCATGTCAGTATCCTAAACATTATGGGAACCAAAAATAAAAATAAGATGTGGTTCCCTACCTCAAAATTGCTTACCTATTACTTATAAAGTTCTATAAATATATTAGAAGATACTGGGAGTTTTAAAAAAATGATTAAATGGGAAAGGTAAATGAATATCAATTTAATTTACTTCAAAGCAAAAAAAGGTAAATCAATTCTATACTTGGAATTTTTTTTGGCTTTGCATTTGGTCCAAATTGACATCAAACATTTATTTCTTGACAGGATTCAAGGTTGTTTTGATGCTTTGGAAAAGAGATACGTAAGAATGTTTTTAAATTTACACCAGGATCAAATACTCATCTTTTATCCCTTTTTAAAAGTTCAGCCTTTATTTTGTTGTGTTTTAACAGTGTACCGGTGCCTAGATTCGCATTCATGAACCAGTTTCTTTTTATTTTACGTCTTTGTTGTCCCATTGATGTCTCATTTACATCAGTTAGAAATGAAACTCTCATTTTTCTCTTTTACATACTCATATCTTTTTGACCACAGAATTTCCTCTGAAGTCACTGGAAGAGATCCACAGGATGTGAGACAGAGGAGACAAGAATCTGGCACTTAGCACATTGAAAATGTTCAAAATAGTGGCGATTCAATTCGCAGATATGAGAGGAAAAAATGGACTTGAATAATGGGTTTTTATTCTATATTAGTTATTTTGTTAACAAAGTTTCTGCATGTATGTAACCTGTTCCCTCAAAATAGCTAGTTTTGTAGCTTGAATTTTTAAAAAAATGCAGCTTGAATTTTAAATGCATCAGATCTTTCTTGCTGCCCAAGACAGCTATGAAGGGTGTAAAAATTAGAGGCTCTAGTCAAGTTGAAGAGACAAGATGTATATGAATGAACTTTCTACCACTGCTTCCATACCTTTTCTCCCTCTGTGTCTTCTTTTTACTTCTCAATTCCTATTCCTTTAAGAAATCTTGAGGTGAATAAGCCTTACATTGGATTATTTAGTTGCACTCATACATTTCCTTTTTCATTGAACAGTTATTACTTATGGTTTATTTAACACTGACTTGGGGGACTGAGAGATACAATAATAAAATAGATATGGGATTGTGCACACAAAGAGCTTATAGACTATGGCAGAAGATAAATGATATTCATATGCATGGATGATGATCAGCTGCTACACACCGGCCCAGCTGTACCTGTTGTTAAGATATTGAAATACTCTGTATCTGGCGGGAAATAGCTGCTTCTCTGAGGCCCCAAGTGACCCCCACAATGTCCCCCCCCCACTCCACCAGTGTCTCTTTTGGGATCCCCCCAGATGGCTCCACAATCTAGTGACTAAAGGGTTAACACCTGGCAGGGGCAGGGGAGCTTCCAGGAACCCAGCTCCAGGGATAAGTTTGCATCCTTTCTGATTGGTCAGTACCTGTGCCATATTAGGCTGTTAAATATTGATTTTTTTCATATCATATTTTGACTATCACCTCTATCACTAGTATAAATAACCATAATACTCATTAGGAAGTGATGGATGCTAAAGGAAAGATAACTGATCATGTGCAATGGAAGTATGGAAAAGGAGAGGTTATATCCATTGAGGGGCGTGAGGGAAATCTTTGGGAGAAAATGACTTCTGGACAGCTTGAGAACATACTGAACAGTGCTCATTCATTCTCCTTCATCCATTCGTTTGGCAACTTCCTGAGTGTCCATCATTAAGGGGCAGTACAATATAGTTAAGAGCTCCAGTTTTGGAATCAGGCAGTCTGAAGTGAATCCCAGTTCTACCACTTAATACCTGTGTGGCCTTGGGCAAGTAACCTACCTCTTGGTACCTTAGTTTCTTTACATACAAAACGGGGATAATAATAGAACCTACTTCTTAAGGTTGAGAATTAAATGAGTTAGTAATCTAAAACAGTGGTTTTCAAATATTCGCTTGCATCAGAATCACCTGGAGGACTTGTTAAAATACACATTACCAGGCTCCACCCCAGAATTTCTGATGTAAGAATTTACATTTCAGATAAATTCCAGGTAATGCTGAGACTGCTGGTCTAGGGACCATGCTTTGAGAACCACTGATCTAAAATGTTTAGAACAATGCCTGGCACATAAAAGCACTATGTAAGTGTTAACTCTTTCTCTCTCTCTCTTCCCCTCCATCCCTCCTCCCTCACTCCCTCTTTCCTTCTTTCCCTCTTCCCCTCCCTTCCTTCTTTCCTTTCTTGCCTATTTAGTCTGTGCCAGACATTGTGCCTAGGTACTGGATGGAGTAAAAATGAGAGAAACATGTGATTCCTCTACTCAAGGAGGTCCCAGTCTAGTAGAGAGAGTCACTTCTTAAGTTATTACAATATTACGTGTACTAAAATAACAGGGTAATGTAAAAAGAATATCTACCTAGTTTGATGGATTTATTTTACTTAAATGACTACCTGTATAACTGAATCAATCGAATTTACTGTTTTGGGAGATTAAAAGACAACACCTTAGATGGGTGACTTAGACTCTTAAGTAAACAATATTTATATTGTTTTTCAGTTGTTAGGATCTTATAACTTTTCCCAGGGTGCTGTCATTGCTAGTAGGAAATAGTTAATATTTTAAAAATAGTTTGTGTGCTGGGCCGGCTCCGTGGCTTAGCGGTTAAGTGCGCGCGCTCTGATGCTGGCGGCCTGGGTTCGGATCCCGGGCGCGCCCCGAGGCACCACTTCTCCGTCCAACGCGAGACCGAGTCCCACGTACAGCAACTAGAAGGATGTGAACCTATGACATACAACTATCTACCGGGGCTTTGGGGGGAAAAAAATGAATAAATAAAATCTTTAAAAAAAAAAAAAAAAAAATAGTTTGTGTAAAGTCCAGTTAGAGTATTTAGAGATCTTGGAAGATGTTCTCCTATTGAAGATGATGATTATTTCTAGTTGTGAAATTTTGGGTGATCTTTAGTTTTCTTTGTACTTTATGTTATGCTTGAATTCTTTAAAATAAGCATGTATGTGTATTTTTATATAGTTATTGTAAAAAAGAAACTATATTGTATATAGCCTCCTAATTTGTCTCCTTATTCTCATTCTCAATCCCCTATATTCCAACCCATTGTCCACACTATTCTTTCAGAAACCTGAGTCTGATCATCTCCTTCTTTTGCCTAAAAATCTTCCACGACTTCTTTTTTTTGATGAAGATTGGCCCTGCACTAACATCTGTTGCCAATCTTCCTCTTTTTCTTTTTTCTCCCCAAAGCACCTGTACATAGTTGTGTATCATAGTTGTAGAGTTGTAGCTCTTCTGTGTGGGACACCACCTCAGCCTGGCTTGATGAGCAGTGAGTAGGTCCAGGCCCAGGATCTGAACTGGTGAACCCCGGGCCACCAAAGTGGAGCACAGGAATTGAACCGCTATGCCACTGGGCCGGCCCCTTCCATGACTTTTAAAGTAAAGTTCAGGATCCATCACATGATCTGCAAGGCCTATACGATCTAGTTCCTGTCTGCATTTCCAAGGCATCACCCTCACCATTGCTCACCCTGTTCAAACCACAGAAGGATTCTATAACATGCCAAGTGCCTTTTCTTTGTACGTGTTGTTCCCTTTTGCCTGGAAAATTCTCTTTCCTACCCAAAACACTTTTACTGGCTAACTCCAATTTATCCTTCAGGTCTCAGCCTAAACATTTACTTCCTCAGGGAGGTCTTCCCTGATACCTCCCCCTCCCCCAGCCTAGATTGTCCATCTATGTAGTATTCTCAAGAACTCTGTGTTGGTTCTTCATAGCAATTAACACAATTAACACCTATCTGTGTGATTTTTTTGTTTAATGTTCTCTCCCCTGCTGTTCTGAGATCAGTAGCCATGTCTATTTTTGAATGAATGAATGGATGAACTGTTAATTAGAAAATTAACATAAATTAGAGTTTCACTATGTAGTCTTAAAATGAATTGTATGCAGTAACCAAAATAGCCACACAGTGTCGCTAAAGTTTTAGTCCTTTGGGTGAAATAGGTGAATAATTTGGTATGAAATTATAGTCCTGAAATTTTCTCATTTGTATTCTAGTTTTTAAAAATTTATCATAGGATTTATTATATCTCTATCTCTATATCTAAATATTCAATTACTCTTTCAAGCAGAGAGAATATGTTTATAGTAATGTATATGTAGGGAGGGTAAGAGTTTTATAGGCTTATTTATATCAGACTGTAAATTTTTTACTTTAGTTTCAAAAACACAATTTTTTAAGATACTTGTGGCATATTTAATTTTTAGTAATAATAAATTATTTTATATATCTTTTGCCTCCCAAACTAGAATATAACTTATAGAGAATAAGGATAGTTTTCTTCTTCTTTTGTATCCCTTTCCTCCCCAGCAGAACTCTAGGTATGTAATAGACACTCACTTGAATGAATGAATAATTAGTATTACTTTTTCTGATATTCTGAATAATATTTTTTTCTACCCAAATCTTTGGAACCTCTCCAAAATCATATTTTAATTAGTCTTTATTGAAAATAACAATAATATAGGTGCAAGTATATAATAACAATAGTTTTCTTTTCTCTTGAAGCTACACATGGCAGTGCTTACAGTAAGTACACATTAAAGACCAAGCTCTTGTCTCTACTTCATTGTCTTTTGGCAAGTGGAACGTTAAAACAGTACTCTCCCCTCCCCTGAATTTTTTATCTGTCCTATGACATTTTGGAATTAAAAAAATAGAATCTACCAGAAGTTGTAATAAAAGATCACAAACTGTATATTTCTTTGGTATATTATTATACATTGGAAAATATATAGGTTATACTATCTGCTTCATCTATTGGCTATCAAGATTTTCTTTTTTGAGTTACTCTACAGTCTCGAAGTTTTTTGTTTTTGAAGTTTTGTATATACTTCTGGGTATAACATTTACCATGTTATATATATATAACTACATTTACCATGTAGTTAATAATAGAAAGAAAATGAGAAGATACCATTGAGAGTCTTAGATGTATGATTTATTTAAAAATTTTTAAACAATAACAAATTATTTAGAATTTATTTGTAGCTCAGTCACAGTAATCATAAAAATGTGGTTATCAATTTCCTTATAGTCAGTGTTCACAGAATACTCTAGACTCTATGTTCACAAAATAAGAGCCTATTCTATCTCTAGGATATGTGTATGTATATCTCAATACTCAATAGAGCACAAATTGAGCTCTTCACATAGAATATGTATTCTGTGAGGAGTAATTTAGTAAATTTCAGAAATTAAATGCTGTTTATTTTTCCTTAAACAGCTTTACACAAATCCCAAGGAACCTGAGGTAAGAACACACAAAGAGATGAGCAGTATATATATAATATTATAGTTAAATATGTTTACCTGGGTTGAGGCTATAGGTTATGTTACTAGACTACCATAACAACAAAGTAACTTGTAGTGAGCTCTTTCAATGTGTTTTATTATAAACTTCACCAATTCTTTATTATGAGATTTTTAAAACTTGGGGTGTTGAAAAAAAACATTGAGTAGAACTGAGCCTATTCCCTAACATATTAACATTAAGAATCTCTGCTTATATAAAAACCGCATTTTAAAATTTATTTTAACTGATTCTGAACCCTTTCTGTTTGTGGCCTTTTGGAAGATATGGCATAATTCTAAACTTTTTTTTTTTTTTTTTTGCCAACTAAATTCTCTCCTTTTTGACCTTTTCATAGATTTTCAGAGCTTTAACTCTTTACTTCTCCCTCTAAATTTCTTCCCTCTGCTGATTGAATCCTACTTATCCTTAAAGTCAACTTATGACTAAATCTTTCATGAAAGCTTTTACGCCTATTCTGCTTACAGTGATTTCTTCCTTTTCTAAATTCCTTTTCCAGCTAGACCCCACAATTTAACACCCTCAATTGATTCATATAGATTACTTTATCTCCCCAACCAGACTGTATTCTTGAGGACAAGCGTCTTGTTTTCTATCTCCCAGAGTGAATATCATAGTCCTGGACACATAACAGTTGCTTGTGCTACTTTGAATGGCAGCTGTGGCTGTGGCACTGAGTGGAGGGAGAGGCCTTCCCTTCTTTCTTCTCATTCTATTCTCTTTATTTTCCTCCTAGCTTTCTTTTCTCTTCCCTTTCCTTTTTCCTTGCTTTCAATTTTCATTCTCTAAGCCTATGGATTTAGCCTAACTGGTGATGTTCAAGACTAAATTAAGCATTTTTAGTCTTTAATATCCTTTCTTGACAAGATTATAAATGGCTGTTTGAGCAAGGCAGAAGAAAACTGGTGTGTACAAGTGGGTAACAATTCCTTAGTGCCCAAACTACCTCTTTTTAATATTTATCTCTTGTTTAGTTTCAAAGTGCTTTTTTTCCGGTAGGTTTGAGGGGAAGTTTCCCAAACTAAAACTTCCTGATAAATTGTTAATAAATTGGTCATTTCCTTAGTGCAATAAATTCTGTTTTCTTATGCATGCAAAACTAATCTGAAACCAGTGGTTTTGAGGTAGTGAAATGCTGAGCAAATTGGGCTTAACTACAGAAAAATCTTATCGAGTGGGGAGAAAACTGTTGAATGAGCTTTGACACAGGCAATATATACAATAATGAAGTTAGGAAACAAAAGCTTATTACATGAAGTTCTGAGCTATCATTTACAACCCAGAAAAAAATATTTTGATCGCTTACAGATAACAATCCCTATAGCAGTGATCCCTATACTCTGTGTGTTCATAGCAGACTTTTGAATACTAGAAGTTTTGGTGGCATGGTTGAGGGTATTAAAAGACTCAAAAGAACACCAAATAAGTTAGCAATAATTGCAGTGTAACTATGGTATAGCAGTGTTCATAGTGCCTAAAAGTATCCATGGGGTTACACTGTTTTATGGTTGCTATTTAGCATCAAGTCATTGATACAACTGTTTACCTCCCTGATCTCATTCTCTCATATACTCACAAAAAACAACATTCTCACATAAACACAGTCGTTCTTTGGCATTTATCAGATATCGTGCCATACTTCTTGACTCATATCCATAAAAGTGTTTCCTCCCCTAAACAAAACTGCACAAATAACAATAATAATATTTACCTTAAGCAAAAATATATTTTACATGTGGATTAAAATTTGCAGCACTCTTGTGAAGAATCTGTCATGGTACAGCAGTTGAGAACCTGTCTTAAATCAAATAAATGTGTATACTCAGTCCGGAGGCCAACAGAATTTTGAGCATTACACAAAGTTGTGGTGCTTCTGCACTTGAAGTTTTATTCTGGTTGCTCCATCTCATGAAAGAGATAAACTGACAAAGGTAACTAAAGTAGTGACAAGGGATAGTGTAGCTTTTCTACAGACACACACCACAAAATATGTGAAGGATATTAATAAGATGTGTAAGCCAAAATGTAAATATATTACAGAAAAGTTTACGCAACTTAACCCATGATAGATCCATAAAGAATTACTATATATGAACATTGGGAGGACACAAATCTTACTGTTTCACCATCTATTCTTTTGTGCCTATTGGAAAATACCTACTTTTAATAGACTGCTTCAGGAACTGAACCGTAGATGGTCCCTGTTTCTAGCCGCAATATGCTTTTAGAGACTTTGTTTAAAAAAAAAAATCCTTGTAGGATGAAAGTGTAATTGAGCGTGAACTCTATTCTGGCTGAATATTTATTCATTTAGCAAATATTAATTGGGTTCCCTTTATGTGCCTAAAAACACAGGAGTTAACGGGATAGTCAAGGTTGCTGCTCTCTGGGAGCCTCCATTCTTTTGAAGGAGGATAAACAGTAAACAAGTAAACAAACGTTAGCAAAACAGTATCATATAGTCATAATGCTGTTAAGAAAATAAAAGAAGGTGGGATGCTGGAGAGTGCTGAGATGGAGAATGGAGGAAGAGAGATTGGAGGGCAGTCCATGGAAGGCCTCCCTGAGGGGCCACTGTTTGAGCTGAGACTGAGTGGCCAGAGGAGTCAGCCTATGCAGGTCTGTGAGAGGCAATGGCATGTGACTGGCAGAAGAACACGGTAGTTAACATTGCAGGTGCTGGAGTCAAATCCCAGCTCTACCACTTGCTAGCTTCACCTATAATGAGCATAATATATACCGCAGAGTGTTGGTTACATAAGAATGAATAGATGTAGAGCATTTAGGGCAGTGCCTGAATATTATCATTATTATCATCAACTGGAGTTATCATGTTCCAGAGTATAGTTGTGCAAAGGCCCTAAGGCAGGAAGGCATTTTGTATATTCACTGACAGAGGGTGCCCTGAGACTGGAGCTTAGTGAGTGGGAGGAAAAGAGCCATTGAGATAAGGTCAGAGAGGTAGGTAGGGGACAGATGAGTAAGGCCTTGTGGACCCAGATAAATTTTATATTTTATTCTAAGGGCAGTGGAAACCATTGGGGAGTTTTAAGCAAAGGAGTGACATGGTCTGATTTGTATTTTTAAAAGCTGTTTTTGACTATAGAACAGAGAACGAATTATAAGAGGAGTAGTGGAAGCAAGCAGATCAGACAGAGAGAGATAGTGGTGGCTTGGATAGGGTGGTAGCAATGAAGATGAAGAGAATCAGATAGACTTGGGATATGCTTGGGAGATAGACCTGAAAAGTCTTGCCAATGGATTGAAATGTGGAGGGAGAAGGAAAGGCTGTATATGTTGCTGTCGCTTTGGTCTATGTGGATATATTCAGTATGATTAATAGAAACTATTGATGAGCAGTTTAAAGGCTCATATTTATTAGGCAACACATATGTCTAAAAAGCAGGAGAATGTTTTATGAGGTGTTAAGAAGATGCTAGTGCCTGCTATAAATATGCCTTCCTTGATCAATCAGAGTCAGATTGAAGTTATTAAGGATTAGCATCTTCTGTAATACAATTACAAACATAACTCTTTTATTAGCTGCCTCAGGGACCAAATAATAAAGTGTTAATAAAATTATCAACTACTAAAGGATCTACTCTTGATACAAATTAAAAAATAAAACATAGCTCAGAGCATCAAAAAGCTAGAGTTGGTTGAGAAACATGGGCAGGCAGGAAGAATAGGCGTTGTTTGCTTGACAGGGCAATTTCACCCAACATGAGCAAAGAGAGGAGGCTGTGTGTCTTGCCTGTCTGGAGTGAACCTGCTGCTGTAGGCACCTCTAGTCTCACGTACCTCTCTTACTGTACTCACAAGGCAGCCTTCTGAACTTGGTTTGATTTCTCAAGTAGACTTTCTTGCTAGAAAAATATTTTTCTGTTTTAAAATTAACTCCATTACAAATCAATTTTCTTGAAGTTTAAGCAGCATGAACCAATTTCCCCAGGACCTGATCACCTGTGATTAATGGGCTACCAAATCTTAGAACAGAGAAAAGTAACAAGAACACTGAGACTTTTTCTGATCAAACATCCTCGTTCCCACATTGTCAAGGAACAAATACTGAAATAGATGAATGAAGGGTGTTTTTTGTGTTCTGACTTAAACTCATACCCTTTGCCTGTCTTGAGCATCTCTCCAGCTCTGTGAACAAACTGCAATGTATCTGGGCCAAACGTTTGCTTCAACTACTAGATAATCATTTTATTTCAAATGTAGTATATCTCTCATGAGGAAATTTGTTGTTATTTCTAGCAGTGAGGAGAGCAGATAGCAGAAGTATCTAGTTTTTAGTGCAGGATCAAAAAAACAAGACCTAATATCATAGATCCTGGTTTCTTTTCTAATTTTTCCAGTTTTCTTGTTGCCATTCAAGTCTTCCCTGAATTACTACAGTAACCTCTTAATTGCTTTCATGGTTTCCGCTTCTTCCCCTCTGTACTCTTTTTTTTTTTTTTTTTTGGTGAGGAAGATTGGCCCTGAGCTAACACCTGTGCCCATCTTCCTCTATTTTGTACATGGGACGCTGCCACAGCAAGGCTTGATGAGCGGTGCCTCGGTCCTGTGAACCCCGGGCCGCTGAAGGGGAGCTCGAGAACTTAACCACTATGCCACCAGGCCGGCCCTGCCTCTGTACTCTTAAAATAGCCAGGGTGATCTTAAAAAATGCAAATCACTCCCATGCTTAAACCGTTTAATGGACTTCTGGTTTACTTAGAATAAAGTCCAAACCCCTTACCCTGGCCAATGAGGCCCCACAAACTCCTCTACAACCTCATCTCCTATACTCTCCCCCTTGTTCATTCATCACCAGCCACTTGGCCTCCTCTCTGATCTTGGAAGAGGCTTCCTTTCCTACTTTAGAGCCTTTGCATTGCTGTTCTCTCTGCCTGGGGCGCCCCACCCTCCCCCAGATCTGCACATGACTGATTCCTCCTGTCACTGAGGCTCAGCTCAAAGATCACCTCTTCCGCGAGGCCTTCCTGGGCCCTTCCAAACCAAATCAGCACCTCTCCGCTTCTGTACTCTCTGTCACAGCATCTGCTTCATATTGTTCACAGCACTCACTACTATCTGAAATTATCTTATTTTATTTGTTTACTTATTTATTAACTATGTCTTCCACCAGGCTATATATTCCAGAAAAATAGGGACCTTTTCTGTCATGTTCACCACTGTAACTCCAGTGCCTGACACAAAGTAGACATTCAATAAATATCTGTTACATGAATGAGTAGTTTCTCAACTGCTTCCACTGTCATTTACCTGTGCTGGGTCAGATACTTGACTCTGTGCCTTAGTTTCTCTAGCTTTAAAATGGTCACAATAGAATTTGCCATCTAACTCATTTTAAGCATGGAGGAGAAAAACTATCATCTTTATATCTTGAAATATTACTCCTGGATAATGTAATGCTGTGAAACAAACAGGTGTATAGGAAGTATAGTAGCTATACAATGAAAATATTCCTTACCTATTATCAGGTAAGATTCCAGATTTTTCTTTGAAGTAATTTCTTTCTTCATTCCCTTTGATGTTTCTAGAAAGTGACTGAGATATACCAGTTCAAATTCAAATACACAAAAGAAGGAGCCACTATGGATTTTGACAGGTAGAATCTAATTGTTTAATGAACATGAGAAATACATAGGATTGAGGTAAACATAAGCCTCTTTGAGTCCAGACATAGTCTGTATACTTCCACTGTAACTTCCCCAACAATCCTACAAAAAGCCACTATTGTAAAAAGGGACTGTAATAATTGTTTAAATTTCTGAAATCCATGGATGAAGCTGGTGATAATAGAGGCTTCCTTTGCTTCTCTCCCTCTTCTCTTCATAGGTGATGTTAGTAGAGTCTAAAGGGGTTAAGTTTAGTGGCTGAGTTCCAATTCCTAAGGCAGAAAGATTAGCTTGGAACGCCAGCTCTGACTATTACTGGTTATATAGCTTGGGACAGATTACTCAACCTCCCTAAATATTAGTATTCTTATCTGCACAGTGGAGTTAATAATAACCACTTCATGTGGTTGCTGTGATTATTAATTTATAATGCATACATAAAGCTTTGCTTATGACTGGCATATAATAGACACTTCGTAGATGGTACCTAGTAGTGGTGGTGGTGATGGTAGTGGTCCTTGGAGGCAGTGGTGGTTGGTGGGCAGCACAGCAGTAGAAATTATATTAGTGAGGCTGTCTTCATGGGTTGATTGAAGAACTCCATAAGGCTCTATCTAGCCACTAACCCAAAGGTTCTCAATTCCTATGCCAAGATGTTGATCCTCTGTGCCCTCAAAATAGCCAGACCGGACCTGGGGTAGATGAAACCCCTGAACTATTTGCCTATAGACACAAATGTTCTCATCTGCTTACCCCAGTATGCCATACAAATATAATTTTCTATGTGTCCCTGTATGGAAAAGTCTGGAAAGCACTGCATTTTCCTATCAAGTCTAAAATTCCAAGTTTTAGATATACTAATGGGTTAAATAGCAAAGACAAGGATATTTGCTTCAGAAGGTCCTTAGTGCAGATGGAGATGTTTCATTGAGGAGAAACATTTATTCCCCTCCCAGTAGCCTTTGGATTCAGATAGAGGTAAGTATTGCTGATGAGATGGAATAGAAGTGGAGGGGGCAGATGGTGGTGCAAAGCCCTGGGTGGTAGAGAGCTCCATGTCAGGGAGATGAGTTTCCCTAAAAGGAATGACTGAAGAGAAACCTGGCCTAATTCTCAATTTTCTCTACTATTAGCTCTATCTCATCATTTCCTGCAAGTTTGAGGATTTCTCTCCAAGGTTCACTTCCTTAATTATCCTCTCATTTGTAAAACTTACAGACAGCACTAGGATGTGAAAAGGAAGTAAGTTCTAGGAATGCGAATTAAAATAATCTCATTAGCTAACATTTGTACAGCACTGTATAGATTGTACAGCCCTTTTTACGTATATTCTCTCACATAAAACAGTTGCCTTTTACTCTCTAAAATTCAAATATAAGTACTACTGACAACCAGATGAATCTCTTTTGCTATGAAGGCATATATGCCAGGAAGTGAGCAGTAAAACAGAAATGGTCAAATATTTCAGCTACTAAGGAGGAAAGAAGGTAATGCATATTACTAATCTCCTAGATACCAAAGGTAGGCATTTGTTCAAATGATCGTTCATATGAAATTACCTTATCATCTCTTCCATAATAAAGATAATTTCCCTTTTAAAAGAATGTAAGGGAGTCTTGAATGTGATTTTACGTGAATATAATTTTGTGAATATGAAGTATACTGAAGGATCCCATGAGCTACATGGCTATAGCCCTTCACTCTGGTTACCTATTTCAAATTGGTTAAATTCTGGTAGACAAAAGTTTAAGTTGTTCAAAATTTAAAGATCAAATGTATATTTGCTTAATAATGTTTGTTTTATGAATTCATACTGCCTTTAGTAGTTCAATTACTTAAGATTATTTTTCGGTATTGATGCTTACTACGTGAAAGTCATTGTGCAAATATATTGCGGTCATAGTCCTTCCTGGAAACTATTCAAATATGAGACTAATTGTGGAAGAAAGTTTTGGAGAGAAATAAAAGATATTTAGAGTTGGAAGGTAGTTTAGTCCAACTTGTTTATTCATTCATTCATTCAACAAACGTTTATTGAGTACTTAACTGTTGCTGGGCACCAAACTTAGTACTGTGGAGATGAAAGATATAGATACTCATAGTCTAGAAGGGGACATACAAACACTTATAAACAGGGGTAAGGTGTAGGGATTATCAGGGAAGACTGCTTTGAAGAGGCGACACATAAGCTAGGTATTAAAGAATAAATTTGGGAGAGTCAGGAAGAAAAGTGGGAAAAGCACAATACAAGCAAAGTGAACAGAATATGCAAATACACACTGGCGAGAAGAAACTGAGTAGTAGTTGCAGATGAAGGTGGAGATGAAGGCATGGCTGGTCGTGAAAGGCATTGTTGACACACCATTCTTGAATTTGATTGAAAGGTGATGGATATAATAGAAAAATCTTAAGCAAGAGAGTGACATGACCGGATTTTCCTATTAGGAATGTTATTTCAGCAGTGATATGGAGAATGTTTTGCAATGTGGACAAGAAGAAAAACAGGAAGAATAGATAGCTATTGTTGTAATCCATGTAAGAGTGGGGAGGGGATGCCTCTGAGAGATAACCAGATGATAGAAAGGCCCAGAGCTGATGATTGATTTTATACTTGGAGAGGTGTAGATATGTGTGCAAGCTTATCTCACAAATGAGCTAACTGACCTAGAGTGTCTAAATGACTTGACCAAGGTCATTCAACTAGTTAGCAGCAGAGCCAATATTAGATGTCAAGTCTCCTAATTCCAAATCAGTTGTTCTCCCTATTATGGCATGTGGTTATTTGTAAATCAAAAATTTTAAAAATCAGGTCATATTTAAAGTGACTTAAGAGAACTTGCTACTTAAGAAATCTTTTGTATATACACTGCAAAAAGTACAATCACTCCTTTAATTTACATTCTAAAAATAGTCTCAAGTGTCCTGATGTTTAGTTTATATTTGTTTGATCATACAGTAAAAAGTTCTTTTTGAAATAGATTTTCAGTATTGTGTGTGATTGATAAGTATGCTGTTTTTCTATGTGATTATAGTAGTAGTACAAGCTTCGAAAGTGGAACAAACAGTGAAGATATTAAGAAAGCCAGTGTTCTACTGATCCGTAAATTGTATATACTGATGCAGAACCTTGGACCCCTTCCTAATGATGTTATACTTACTATGAAACTCCACTACTATAATGCAGGTAGGTGGAGACCTCTAGTCAAATTCCTTCTTAAGTCTTGAAGTAATATTTTATATAAATAGAAGGATTTTGCAAGCATCTGGAAGAGATGTCTGTTGCTACACATGAAAGATTATTCTGACTTGTTCTGTTGAAACTCACAGTTTTCTTCCCTTTTCATTTTGCAGTGACCCCACATGATTACCAACCCCCCGGTTTTAAAGAAGGGGTAAACTCACACTTCCTGCTGTTCGAGGGAGAGCCCATAAACCTGCAAGTGGGATTGGTCTCCACTGGCTTTCATAGCATGAAAGTAAAAGTCACAACCGAGGCCACCAGAGTGTCTGATTTGGAGAACAATCTCTTTCAGGAGAATGGCACTACCGAGATTGCGCATCAGGGTCTAGACTGTGACGAGGAAGAAGAAGAATGCAACGATCACGTAAGGCAAAGCTTTAGCGATCCTCCATTGCTTCAGTTAAATACATTTGACATTTTTCAGTTCCTACACAGGTCGTATCACAGTAACAGGGTCCAATAAAGTGTGCCAAGTATAAAAACTGAAACAAAACTATGCCCTGACCTCAAGGAGTCTTTATTCTAAAAAAGTACTGTCTTCAAGACTTTGTTAGATGAAATTGTCCATGACTAGGGGAAGAAAAAGACTTTCCAATATACTTCTTTAGTAAAAGGTACCCATGAATTTAGAAAATTTGGGATTTTCTTTCTTTCATTTATAATTAATGTATTTTTAGGGTTTAAAAAATATTCTAGGTGTTTATTCATACTCACTGGAAGTATAAATAAGTTCTTAATTACTGAGGCAATTGGGTGGAAGGGGGTTGAGGGAGAAAAAAGTTATGGATAAACTCAAGTCAGAATGAAAACAAAATGATAGCCAACTCTCGGTTATGTGAAAAGAGACAAGCTTTGGGTCTAGCTCCCTGAGGAAAGCCATGGGGCTGGGGTTGGAGCCACTGGAGCCAAACAGGCAGGGCTCTGAGCCTGTTACCTTCCTACTCTCTCCAGTAGAGACCTGGAGTTGAGTACTTTCTCAGGCCCCACTGTACCCTAGGTAAATCTACACCCTGTTGTCTAGATAATAGAGTTTACTGTATGCCAACACTGTATTAAAAGGGTTCTGAGTTAGACATAAAGAATTTTCAGACTGCTTAGTGGGAAGAGATGCTTTAAAATCTTTTCAGGAGCTATTTTAAGGTTAGGATGCTAACTTATTTGCTTGAGATAGTTTGAGTCCTACTTAAAGATAAATGACTGCAGTTGGTAACTTTTAAATTCTTTAAAACTGTTAAATTCTTTAACTCTGTGTTATGTTTCATACACTGAAAAGAAGTCTTACTTCAATTAATGTAAATAATACAACCAAACAAACAATGTGATTTTTTTTTTTTATTTTTAGTAAGTATTTTCACAATGTCACAAATGATAATGGCTTTAGATTTTGATGCAACTTTCTTCTGATTCTACTCAAGGAAGATATAGCTAACATAGATTGGTTTTAAAAAGATAAAGGTTAAGAAAAGAGTGAGCATGTTTGAACTGGATTTTTATCTTTTAAAATTAAGAATTTCTTTCTCTTTTACCAACTACAATGAAAGCAGGACAACTTGAGAATGAATAATTCAATTGATAGATTAAATAAGACATGTGATAACACTTTCCAAGCATACATTTAGTAGGAATGATGTATGCAAATATCGGAACTTTGTGGTAAACTCAGTCAATTCAAGTTCCTCTCTCAGCCAGCCAATCATATAAGAGAATTTAGTAAGTCTAGTGAAGTGCTTACTGACATTTTCCCGGTAGGAATTCCGTTGTTTTCCTTCGTGGAATACACACACACACACACACATTCATACACGTATATACATATATAGAACCCTTTATTGCTTTTAAAAATTATTATATTTTGAAATATATCATGCATATAGCAGAGTATATAGAAATAGTATGAAAAGTTTAAAGAATAATGAGAACATCCATATACCCTCCGTTCAGGCTAAGAAGTAGAACATTGTCACTACCTTTGAAGCCACCACGTGCCCCTTCTTCATTGCATCCCCTCCTCCTCCAAAGGTAACCACTCTCCTAACTTCTATGATAACCCTTCCCTTACTCTTCTTTATAGTTTTACCATTTATGAGTATATCCACTTGTTTAAAAATTTTATATAAATGTAATCATACTCTAGGTATTCTTCTATGATTTGCTTCTTTTGCTTGACTATCAAAAATGAGATTTATCCATTTGTGTGTGGTTGTTCATTAATTTTCACTGCTCTAGATTATTGTACTCTTGACAGACATTCTTTCTTTTTAATTATTATAAACATTCGCGTACACACCTCTTAGTACATATATGCAAGAGTGTTTCTAGGGAATATACCAAAGAGTCCTAGGGCTTGCACATTTTCAACTTTATTAAGTAATGCAAAACTGTTTTCCAAAGTGGTTGTACCAATTTATATTTCACCAATAGTGGAGAAAAGTACCCTACATTCTTACCAACATTTAGTATTATCTGAGTTTATGTTTTCTGCCTATCTGCTGGCTGTGAAATGGTAATACCTCACGATTTTGATTTGCATTTCCCTGATTATTAGTGAATTTGAGCATCTTTTTATGTGTATTGGCCATTCTGGTTTTCTTATATATAAAGTAACCTTTGAAGTCTTTCATGCATTTTCTATTGGATTATTTATCTTTTCCTCATTGATTTAAAAAGTATGTTTTACATAATAATTCTTTTTCATTTGTTTTTGTTGCAATATATTTTTTTAGGTTGTGGCTTGTCTTCAGTTTCTTTAAGATGTCTTGTGATAAAGAAAAGTTCTTAATTTTAATGTAGTCAAATATTTTCCTCTAATATGTGATTTTGGATATTCTTAAGAAAACTTTCTTTACCTGAGGTCATTTATAATACTCTCCTATATTTTATTCTAAAAGTTTAAAGGTTTTACTTTTTACATTTAGGTTTTATTCCACTTGGAGTTTATTTTTATTTGTGGTGTGAGGTAGACAAGACCCCTTTAACAAATTTTTTAATCCAAGTATAATATACATACAGAAAAATACACACATTGCATTGATACGACTCAATAAATATTCACAAACTGAACACCAGGGCTGAGACAAGAGTGAGGCAAGCAAGGTGAGAGTGAGTGCCTCTTTAAGTTTTTCTCCCTAGGTATCTTGTTTGCCTCACCCTTGTCCCAGCCCTATTGAGTAAACATGTGAAATCAGCACCCAGATCAAGAAACAAAATACTACCAGCTTCCAGAAAACACAGTCTTACTTTGCAGTCACTGTTCTACTCAACAAGAATATCTCTATCCTGACTTCTATTAGCATGGATTCGTTTCTCTTGTTTATTTTATAGAAGCAGAATTGTAAAGTATGAACCGTTTTTCCACTCAACATTATGTTGTGATATTTATCCATATTCTTGCTTGTTGTTCTAGACCATTCTCACTATTTATCAATCTAGTGTTGATGGGCATTTGGGTGATTTCCTATTTTTGACTGTTATGTATAGTACTGCTCTGAACATTCTGAACATGTTTTTTTAGTGAAATATGTATAAATTTCTAGTGGGAATAGAATTGCTAGGAGTAGAACTGCTGGGTCAGATGGTATGTGTATGTTTAGCTTTAATAGATACTACAAAATAATTTCCAAAGTGATTGTGCCAATTTACACTCCCATCAGCAATGTATGAAAGTTGTGGTTACTCCACATCCTCACCAACCTTTGGCATTTTCCATCTTTTTCATTTTAGCCATTCTGGTGGGTGTGTAGTGGTATGTCATTGTGGTTTTAATTTGCATTTCCCTGATGACTAATGAAGATGAGCACCTTTTCATATATTTATTGGCCATATTGGATATCCTCTTTTGTGAAGTGTCTTTTCAGTCATTTGTCATTTTTTTCTATTGGGTTCTATTGGGTTATCTTTCGTTCTTATTGGTTTGTACTTCTGCATGTATATTCTACATATAAGTCCTTTGTCAGATACATATACTGTATTGTGAATATCTCTTCAACTTTGTGAGTTGCCTTTTACTCTCTCAAAGGTGTGTTGTGATGAACAGAATATCATATTAATTTTAATATAGTCCGATTTATCAATCTTTTCAGCTATATTTGGCAGCTTTTATTAAAAATTTTTTATCTGCTATAAAGTTTACAGAGATGTGCTTAGCTCTATGTTTCTCTAAAAAGGAGAAATAACGACAGAAACAGAAGAGAGTTTTAAAGTTATAAAAGACCTCCATGAATAACTTCATACCAAAAAATATAAATACTTGACTTTTCTCTCCCCCACCTTCACGTATTCATATATTTTGGCATGAAGTTATTCATGGAGGTGTCTTATAATTTTAAAAATCTCTTCTGCTCGTATAGTTATTTCCATGTTTTAATATCTGGTGCTGTGTTTTTGGTGCCCCATTTGTTTTTCTTAATTATATTGGCCAAAAATCAGTATTTTTTATTACTCTTTTCAAAGTCATCTTTTTTGTTTGTTTGTTTTATTTTTTGTTCATGTTTTGCTTTTATCTTTGTCTTCTTTTGTTTCTCCGGTTTGGTTTTGTCTCCCTGACTCCAAATTTACCTTTCCATCAAGATATAGACATATATCCTACACGTACCTCAAATTCAACATCTCCAAATGGAATTTCAACTTCTGAGCAAACGTGCTCTTCCTCCTCCCAGGTTCCTTATCTTGGTGTTGCACCATCACTTTACCAAACAGCCTGACCAGGAATGTGTTCAACTTGTGTGTTCTTCTCACTTCTCATATCCTTTTGGTTACCATTTCTGTCTGTTTTGCCTTTAAAATATTTCTCAAGTCTGGCCCTATTGCCATTGTGCTGATTCAGCCCATCATCGTTGTTCTTTGTGAATGACAGCTGAGTCTCCTGAGCCTCCCTGATGTAAGCATTGCCTCTCTAATCTGTCTTCCAGAGTGGCAGAGAGTAAAGGTAATAAAACTATGATGATCATTTTCAAATATTTCAAGTTAATTTATTTTGTGTAATGTTGAAGGTCAGAATGAGAGCCAGTAAATGAAAATTACAGTGTGAGGGGAAAGAGGTTGATTTTGGCTCAATAGAAGGAAAAACTTTCTCTTAAAAAATTTTAAAGCAATATTACAATGACATTAAAGTAATTTAAAAAGCAACGCAAATCTTCACAACTGTCCTACAATCCTATCAATACTGTTTTTATTTTTTTATGTTCTATCCCCTCCAGTCTTTTTCCACAGATATATATATAATTGTATATGGTTTTAATTGTGGTGTATATATAAATTTGTTTTACCTTTATACTTAACATAAATTTTATAAATGTGTCCCACCTTAATCTTCATATTTTTAATTTAAATGACCTTTTGTTTCATTTAGGTACATACTCTACCATT